AAACTTCAGAATAAGTCACATGGTGGAAAAATTCGTAAGACAAACAATTTATGAAACTGTTGCTACAGACTGAAGACCTGGCTGCTACATCAATATGAAGTGGGTTGCACTACCCTTCTGTGAACAGAGTTTGAACCGCAATCGTTATAGTGAATTCGCTTCTGCTATGCAAACCGGAATTGTAATTGCCTACACAACTGTTATTTCGAGACTTCTTTCTACTTTTCTTAGCAAAAGGCTTTTATCTACTAAGTGTTTAACTTTTTTCAAGAAATCTGATGAAAACCGAGTAGACATACTTCTTTTGCTACTTCCTATATTGTTATTCCATAAGTTCATGAGTAGTTGAAAATTCCATTGTAGCCGACACTTTATATTAAGATTGTGTGTTAATGCTTTGCGATTCAAGTTAAAATCAGACCTAGGAGATTCCTCAATATTGTATTCAGTGATGGAGTTACTGGTTGTATGAATACGATGTGCTTCACAAATCAACTTTCTATATATTGAGGCTGCATTTATGAGAAAGAAGTAGCACTGTCAACAAATTAGATACAACATGAAAGACCAGTCCATGAAGAAGTGTCTTAGCAGTGGGGTGTCATTTCTATCGTGTATATCTTCCGAATTTCACTGTAACACGGGGTGTATAAAGTGTTTAATGCTTGGAAGCTTAAGTTTTCATAACATCTCCCTTAAATTTAGTTGAATTTCCCTACGAACTGACTCATTTAGAGATAGTTCTCATTGAAAGTTGATTTTGGAAGCAAAAACATTGAAAAGTCTTGAATACTGGACACCCGGTTCGTTCTAGTTTGGGATCTCTCAGGAGTTCGCACCACTCATCACACAAGAAATGGAATCCAAGATCAGTATGGCTGGTTATTCATTGACTAAAGTTACTAAATCCCACTTCGTAAATCAAACGGTTTTTCCCTGACATATTGTGACTACCATACATCATTCCTAGTAGGTATCCTTTTTCTTACCATTCTTAGCTGTCTTCTCACATAACAGCTCTGCATTATAATTGATCTCTAATCGCTGAACTATAATTCTTGTTGCCAATTGTGTAGATTTATTGTTTCCATAAGGATAGTTTGTTTGGACCTACTTCTTTTCCATTGTAATCAACTTTACCATTTTCAGCATATGTATCGTAATTGCTACATCTCTTTATTTCATTAAACTAAAGTTAGTCATTAAAAACTTGTATAGAAAAAGGAGTCGATAGTTATCACTTACTATTCAACCATTTTCCACTTAAAAGTGAAAAAAATCTGTAAACTACGTTTGGTCTTCGCTTTGTATGTAAGTTGTTCAAGTTGTGCAGTATCTTAAAAAACTAGAGACTATGACACAGGTTGAAACATGAAGTTTTATTAGTGTATAGGCGAATAGATAATAATTTAATTTAGCTGAGTTATTGTAAGTGAAGCCAAAATGGGAAAGCGAGATATCTGGCAAATGAGACAGATTTACTTCATATCTTGTCATGATCACTCTGCAGTTTTAAGAAATTAGTGCAGGATATACAATTGGATTTCATTTCTAATTCATGTTTGTATGCAGGTTTACATAATTTGAGTAGGAAATCTGTTCGGCGGATAGGTATATTAAGGGAAGTTATCGAAAGTAATATTGTAACTGCATTCTGCCATAATCTGTTTAATTCATACCCCCGCGTATAGTGCCTAATCTTTTTAACGAACAGCAATATATCCAAATTTATATCTACCTTTCTTATTCTATGTATTTTTTATTCTAGTCACTGCTGAAGATGTAGTTTATTAGGTCGTTTGTATCTGTTTACCGTCCAGTGACTGGTCCTGACATTATCTCTTTATATTAGGTATACTTCTACTAATTGCGCTATTTTACAAGTAAAATGAACAGTAACTGAATGATACAGAATATTGGAATTGCCGGTTACTTTAATCTTCAATCAAACCCCGTTTGTTTTGATTGTTTGTCGCATTCAGAAAGCTGGAGGAATTTTTGTGTATGAAATAGTTCTTGCCACATATTTTTAACTGTGTTCCTATCGATATCTCTTTAAGAAAATTATCCCCTGGATTTTGTTCATTTTGGAGGGGATTTTATAATACTTATTCACCTTCCAAAAATCAAGTATTTGGAACCATTTTCTGCAACATATTACAACTTTCTCAGAGATTTTGTTTTTCAAGGTATAATATATCATCCTTAGACGTGAATATCAGTGAAACTGATTTTGGTATACAAATCATCACTACAAGTTAGCCCTTCTAAGGATCAAATCATGCATACCTCTTTGGGATGGGCAAAGAGAACTGGATAACCAAATTAACACTACAAGAGTAATTAACCAATTATGGTATTCACAAAAGACGAGAAAAAGTTATGAAAACAAACTGTAAAAACAAAACGGAATTGAAATTTAAGAGTTCTTAAGATTAAAATTTATCAAATTGTTGTACAAAGTTACTAAACTCTACAAATAATGGAGAACTGGACACTATACAAAAGAATGACAACTATTTGAAGTTCATTAAAGTGCTTTTATGTTGAAAAAAATTTGACCTATGTTTCTTAGACTTTCTTATTTAAGTAAAAACTACTCGATGTAACTTTTATGGCCAAAAATCATTACCCCAAGCAAATTATGACTAAATTTTGTTTCTTTACTTATGAAGAATTTAATAGTTATTTTTTTATAGAAATGTGATGGCTTTGCCTACGCACACTTTCGTCTTACTGTTCCTTTCTTATAAATAGCTAGTTAATAATTTTTAATAAAAGTATGAATGCATTAAGTTGTAGTACATTTTATCATGTTTCCAAGTAGCATCGTGTTCCTCCGTATGTAGCAGATCTACAAGTAACTGTATGTTTTAAAAGGAGGGATTTGAGATTTCAAAAATATATTGTTAGTTGTAGTTTACTTGATAACCCCGAAACTTAGATATTTTTTCAGGTAAAAACTTTATAAACTCTCAGCATTACTTTATGAATATCGTCAGTCAACGTGAGTTCATTGATGACTAATATATTACATACAATTAGTAATAACTGATCATTTGTGCCGATACAAACATGAGTAACTTATATGCACGTTTACTGTCTGAATATGTATAGTTATGTTCATTTAAATGTGAAGTTAAAAATAATTGAAATTGGCCAGTGAACAGATTGTATAGGTTTGCAAGATCAATAAGTTTCCTATTTGAAGTGCATTTTCACCAATGAATATTTTCTTTACGGTTTTCAGCCATGCGATTTGTTATGACACTTCCAGTTCTACTGCAAATAAATTCTATTTAGAAAGAGGAGTATTTAAACTCTTTTTTTTGCTATCATTTGATTAAAATGGACTTGAACATTTTTGTGAAAGCAAGAGAACAAAATTTGTAGAGCAAATAAACCCATCTTTATTTCATGATGCTTCTTCAGCTACGAATAGCCTGAAGTGAGTGCAGAACTAGTGTGGGTCACAGCTCATTTTTTGGGAATGTTAGACTGATCGCTGCATTCATGTACCTCTAAGTTCGTTTTGCTAAGCTTCACTATTATGGATTTATTGAGAGATAAACAGGATTGGATTACATTGACAATCTATTCACTCAAATCCTGTCGATATGTTTACACTGACTACTGAATAAGTCAGGGGGTCTGGAACTTTATTTGTGATCATTTCTGACTCTAGGACAGTAACCTCTTTTGACGTGTGTTCAGAGAATCGAGTAGCAGCTTAACAATAGATGGCAGATAATTTGTTTCAGTATGGGACATAAGCCAAGTAGTACAATTTACAGAAATGAATTTCATAGTTGCCTAGATAGTTGTAATTTTAAATATTCTCACTTTTTTACCAGGTTGTTTCAGATATTTTATCTTCAGTGTATGTCAGTAGGCTAAATAAAACCTTTTTACAAAGGGTTCACACTATTATACACTTTCCGATACTTTTCATAGAGGTCCCATAAAAACAATTCTCAAGTGGAACCAGCTAACCTATTTTGTCTCTGCAACAAAGGTTTCCAACTGTGACGGTTTATGGAATATTTTTTATTGAAGTTTCATGATTTCAAAATTACTGTGTTTTCAGTAATATGCTGCTTTTTTATTTTGAACATAGGTTCTCTTCTAATCTACGCTGGATTGCAAATCGATTAAGAAAGTTGATCAGCTGTTTATACTCACACATTGTAGTGTACAACTTTGTTTATGCATCGTTAAAAAAATTGAAATAATCTGTAGATGTGAGTAATCTTCACATGCCATAAAAGTGTAGTTTGGATATCTTGCTCAAAATATACTATAAATAGTGGCTAACTAGATTGATTTTGCTTCTTAATTTGATATATGTGCATCGTCGTATGTTGAAACGAAATTTCAATATTTCCATTGAGTTATAAGAAAATAAAGAATCCAGAGAATAAACATTTTCCTACATTTTTATCCACTTAAGATGTATAGTGAAATTTAAATATAGTTGGTGTGCATAAATAACTTGCTTTAAGTGGACTGAGACTCCAAACTAAGAGGCTTTTTCATGTGAAGAAATTGTTTTTCTGTTTCTATTTTAGTGGGAGTAGTCAGCATAAAAAATAGTAAATCTATTATTACACTAAGTAGATCAGCATCAAGAGAATAGCTTTTTGAATGTCCCAGTTGAATTAACAACCTTATAATAGCAAAGTAATTTAACACTTTGTTGTAGTCCATAGAACAGCTACAAAAGTGTAACTGGCTGACATGTGAAGTCAAAACGAGAACGTTGACGGGAACCGGATTCGCTCCAACGGACTTCCGACCTCGCTCATTAGATAATCGCATACACAATTTATGCAATAAAAACAATTTCTCAAAAAAAAAGAAAATTTATCAATTATTGGCAAATGTAGAATTGTTTTGATTTGAACCAATCAGATACAAATGGTTTTCAAGGCATGACACCATTGGTTTGTTCATCTGCATCCTTGAATATTTAAGAACTAAATTAAGCTGAATACACCTAGTAAATCATTAAAAACAGCTTGAAGTACAGCGTAGTGGGTTAGCAGTATTATGTAAGTCAAGTATGAAATAAATAATGCATTACTACGTGTATGCTACTTTTAGTCGTGTTTGTGATGCTTATCAGTTCATCAGGGATACATATGACCCATGATGCTATATTATTTCATGGTATTAAGCAGTAGACTGCATCTCTTTTATTTCATCTTATGTGATGATCGTTATGGTCATTACTGAGACTTGGTATCTATCACCTCAGATATAAATAATTGTTCAATAACTGACTAACGTTCTCGATTGAAATCTAGTTTCAAGTTTTATGGGTTTTTTTCGATTTCATCGAAACTTATCTGTTAATGAGAAAGAAACCACAATCACTCGAAAGATTTAGAATTGAATTTTTCAGTTCAGAGCATAGAAATGGTACTAACGGAATTATTTGGAAAAACTTGGTTGCTTGAGTAATTAAATAAACCTTTAAGTAACAAATAAATAATTAAATAAATGGTTAGCGAAAGGTCTAATTTCGTTAATATCCACAATAATATAAAGTACCTACAAGTTTAGTGTAGCATTTTGACAATCTCGAGTTGCTTCAATTCACATAAAATTTCCGAAGTTGGATTGATAGTGTCACAACAGATTCTGGTCATATTACATTGAAAAGTGGGATAAATCATGAGAAGCAAGACAGAAAATTCTAACAACTTTTAGTTCAAATTAATGCATGATATTGTCAAACTACCGTTTGGGAAGGCCGATAATTTTCTCCCTTCAGAATTACGTAACCATGTAAATATATATCGATTACTTTAAGATACGTTAATAGCTTACAAAGCTGTACTTGGTTATATAATATTTGATTTCGTTAGCATGTGGTTTAGAGTGCAACTGACACCTTAAAAAATATTATTCTACATTTTGAGTATACACCAGCTGGTAAACTAGATAAATTCACTAAGTAGGCCATATTCTGGACTCTTTTGTTCTGAGTCAACAGGTACCGAGTCTGACAAATTATGGATTCACACTGTTTGAAGACAAAACATACGTTCTAATAGTCATGAAAAGTTTGGTTTTTAAAGATTATTTATCGTTTTACATAGTTACATTTTTAGCGTATATTCTAACATAATGAAGACACCACTGAGCATTGAATTCTGAAATTCATTTCACAAAGAAAGCGTTTTTGTATTCTTAACTGCTCAAACAAGGATATGGAAATCGTAAATCAATGAGAAATAAGACAAATTCATGTTATCAAGCTAAATATTCTAACCAAATCGAGTTAATCAGTTATTATTCAAGCGAATTTATTAAAAACTGGAATGCCAGTGTCTATGTTTTCCATGTAATGTTCTAATTTATAAATTAAGTTTAACAGACTCATGTGAAAACAACAGGTTTCGAAAATCAATTATACATGTGTTTTTGTACGAACTGGTTTTCGATACAAATTAGTGTTGAATGTCTGCATCTGTCATTTGCGTTTTTCATAAATTAGGGAGACAGTAATTGTTCTGTATAGACTTGGACTACTGATACGCACTTTCGTAATTTCAGATTTCTTTTAAAAATCCCTTTAATTTGAATTTGTCTCGATGTCTCATTCTGCTACAGTTTGATAGGTGTTGTTAGTGTCACTCACGATTTTTATTAAATGAAGTATGAAATATGCCACTTTTGACTCATAGCAACAATCCTCAGAGGTTGCGCTGCATAATCCATAATGCTTAGATTATGATTTTTCTTTATCTGTTGTACATATCACGTTCATTACATTCAACCCTTATAAAAAGTATCCATTGTTTAAAGTGCTTTGAACATTACTCTCTTTGAAGAAGTAAAAACATTTTCTTTACGTCTTTCTCTGTCGACTACAGGCTTTGATTTGAGGAAACGACTTGTATTTCATTCATTGACGTCTTTTTCCCACCGTTCATACAGTGAGTTTGTTGTTGCTTTTCTGTAAAATAGGAAGAAAAAGCCGTTTGTAGTTAAACAAAACTTGCTTCGTTTCATTTGCTGTAAATCTGTTACATGTACTTACAAAGTTTGAACACAATATACAAAGTGATTTGTTCAAATTAAGCGCACAGTTTTTCGTCGGCGTTACTCTTTGTGAGTATTATTTATTTATTCCTTCTGAGTCTACAACAAAGTTCATGAATTAATTAATAACAGAGGAATAAATACTGATTTGTATTATGACAAATCATCAGTTGAACTGGATCAGTTAACACAACGAAAACTAAGCGTAGTAATATTACTGAAAGTGCTAGTCTTACAGTATATATAAATCAGTAGTGATCATGCTAAATATTTTTATGTATGGGTGAATAGTTACGTTTTTGTAGGACTGTTTATGGAGATTATTGACTTATGGATAAAGCCAAGACTAGTGATGAAACAGTCAATGTTTTGTCAGTAATCACAATTAAACTGTAATGCGTTCAAATTCATGGAAAGGGGTTGCATGATCAGGGTCAATATAAGAAACAACAAAATGAATTGGTAAATTATCAAATGAGTCTATAGAGGTGTAACAAGTGATTGGGACAAAGTTGGTTGGAATATAAGCGCTTTTTAAACATTTCAAGTTTGTTCGAAGTGATAAATCACTTGTGCCACCGAAGGCAAAGCAACCCAATGTTACCTTTTCTATCGATCACATGGAAAACACATTTTATTCTACTGTGCAATGTATATGAAGAATATGTTTACTTACGGTGCAGTTAAGTGGTTTTGATATATAGGTTGCAAGCTTTCTGGTGAGTGTGCAGAAATTCTATCAACGAGAATTCTTGGAGGTTTTTCTTAAACAGATGCTACTGCAGATGCAGATAAATGGATGGATACAGTCGAAAATAATTCGAGGTATTTGAAAAGAAATGTCAGTCCGTGATGAATAATACCTTCAAATTAAAATTCCCACTAACTTCAAAATACAAACAAGGGATAGTCCTACATTTTTAGAGCTTTTAGGTTTTTATCTCAATGCTGTAGACTATGAAGAAGTTTAAAACAGTCTTGTCATGTACATTGAAAGCTACATACGAAAGGAATGATTGCAGACTAATGTTTAGTTTAAAATTAGTTTAAGTGTGCCAGTAGGCATGCTTTGGTAGTTTCTAGAAAGACACTTTATTGTTCACTTCAATTTAATGAAACTGAACAGCCAATCGGCTTTCATACAATAAAAGTAACAACAATATTTCATCTGACCACTATGGGGAATAAAAGTGTTCTTGTATTTTATAAAGGGCCTAATTAATAAATGTAATGTTCAGTATTAAAACTTCCGAACTCCTTGTCATTCAGTAAAACGAAGTTCTTCGGCAGATTAAGTGGTGCAAAACAGTTTTCCAAAAAAATCAACAAGGCATATGGTCTAACTACATAGACGCACCTTTTGTTGCAGATTGGAAGTATTCCTTGAAGTGAAGTCTAACTAATTGATGCATAAGTAATAACAACTAACGTTCATGATAATTTCTTAAAGGAACTGGTTCCTCTTTTCTTACCTTCGGTAGCGTATTTGTCCCTTCGGATTACACGTTTCCAATGAAATATGTCTTGGGTGTTCCTGTGTTTAATACCTTCTAAAGACTATCCCTTTGTAATACTTCTTAGCAATCTAGACTGTCAAAACAGCTTTTTCGATTGTTTTTATGATAATAAAGTCACTGGATGTAGAGAACATCCACATCAATGACCAAAAGAGGCTGCATTTTGAAACATGGGAAAATGCCTTTAGAAATAATCCTATATTTTGGTTTCCATCGAATAGTGTACATCAAGTATTGCTAATTCTGATAAAATCCAATTCACTTGGTTAACAAGTTGAATGATGTTAATTTCGTTCAGCATAATTCCATATTGTATTCACTTAAACTGAATACGGAACTTTTAGTTACAGTTAATAATCAGAGGTATTAAAATTTCCTCGAATTTTTATGCAATTATTAAAATACTATAACTATATTCAGTCAAATCGAAAAGTCGGATGCCCAATGAATTCACCTATATGAATGCTAGAACATCGTTGAACTAAGGGCAAAATTTGTTTGCTAAAAAATTCCAAGTTGACAATTAACTAGACCTTTGTAGTCTGATATTGGAGTATTTGGTTATTCTGGACCAGGTATTTCTGTATTCCATCTTCATGAATTTGTACAAATGTCTATCAAACGACTGATGTAAAAATAAAAGTTTCCCACTCTTTTTCTAAATATAGGAGTAGTAGTTTTAAGTTTTTCAACTTCATTTTAAAACAAACAAAGCTATTATTCAGATTCGGTTTCATTGTTTACTTTGTGAAATATAAGCCTGGTCAAATCATACACGTTTGTAATCAGCTGCTCGTAATGATTGAATAATCTTTGATTTATGAGTGACAATATCTACATCTAAGCTCACTAAACTTCATTTTCACCTTATTCACTGTCAGCATGTCGAATTTCACCTTTCCTACCTATACAAAGGAAATAAGACCATTGGTATTATACCATTAAATATACCTTGTGTTTTCTCAAGCTATGTGGCGTCAAGCATGTTTATTTATATTTTTTGTACCATCTCTCATCGTCACTTGTTGTTTTGCTTTGAGAATAATTTCTCTCTTTCCACAATAAACCCTGGACGAACTTCATGTGAACTATAAATACATATATACATATATATGTCACTGCAAGGTAATCAGTTTTGTGTTATCAAGTTGTAAGGGCTGATGGATTTGAATTGATCGAAAGCGGGTCGTAGTCACTATTCTAGATGACTGACCATTGACGCAACTTATGCTTGCTGTTACCCAGCTGAAGACAATGAGTATCCATTTATAGACATTTAAAAACCATTAAACTTTAGTCCAGATTCTTGATGTTTATTGACTGTCTCCGAATTACCAAAACGATATAGATTTTGTTAACCTACAACTAGGCATTACGGCATCAAGTTTCGTATTGAGTCTGATTACCGCCTTGTTTTATAAAGACGTTCTTCAATAATAACTACAGAAATTAGTAAACTATTACACACACAACCTTACTATCTGGTTGGTCATTAATAATTTCCATTCCTTAGGTGCTTTTTTTCCAAATCCCCAATTTTTGGCTGTTTCACTATGTAATTCTCCAAAGACCTATTTCCTTCTATCGGTCGCAAAGTTTTCTCAATGATACATAAATCTCAAATGACGACCAAAAGAAACCCAATTCACATGTGAGCCATACAAGTAGTATTTACATTGCTGATCTGGTGATCTCGCATGTGACATAACAACCACAGTAATCGTCTAACAAACAACTCTCTTCAATTACGTATCACTGTATCTACTAGCCAGAAAAGAAGTGAAGTTAGAATGAAAAATCATCATTACACAAAGATAGGTTGCTTTTGGAGATATTTTGTGAAAAACCGGGAAAAATATTACTTCATTTTGTTAGAGTTGGAAATGAATACAATTAAATCCATGTTCAGATCCCGGATGAACTGAATATTACGATAAGTAGTTGATCTAGATTCAGTAAACCTTCCACAGTACTGTTATACCTCACGTTTCAGAAACACTTAGCGACTTCAGGACAGCCTTTATTTTCAATCGCCACCATTTCAAATCAGGTGAAAATTGGAAAAAGGGTGAAAATGTGGTTCACAAAATTCAGCGGTATGCTAAAAATGACATATTATATCGATATTATTCAGAGATAAACATAATTTTTGTATAACATAATTTGGTGGGCATATAACTAAATAAGGTAGGATTTAGAAGACAAGAACATCACCTTATAATGTATAATGCACGCAGACTGCTATGTAATACTTAAACAGAAATAAATGTTTGTCATTTAATACCTGGTCTTAAAATATATTTCTAACACCTCATGAAAGAAAATGTTTAAAAACTCAAATGTTGCAACCAAAAGTGTTACATCTGTGCACACAAAATTTATAAATAGTGTCAGTCAGCGTTCATGATTATATTTTCCTTCTCATTGATGAAAATATCATATTCATACTCTCCTTAAAAAAGAAAGTAATAAGCAACTCGAATATTAATTTAATTCTTACCAAATAAAACAAAATGCTGCATACAAACTTGATTTATCTTCAATGGGATCGAGATGAGTCCGTAGGACTACACTGAACAGAAAAAATTGTAGGAAAATCATAGTTTAAGCGCTTTTTCAAAAATGTCATTTTCAAACTTGTTGGTTTATGATTAAGGTCTCCATGGAATTCTGAGCAACAGTATACTCTTGAGATATTCTGGACCCAATTGTTTTTGTTTACAAGTCAAATTTTACATCGGAGATCATACCGTTTAGAATTTTGGTCAGATGTTATCACAGCAAGTAGCATATTTTGAAAAAAACGTTTATAGCAAACCGTCAACAATAAAAATTATCAAAGCGTAAGATAAAGCTCTGCGTGCAACCATCCATTTTGTCGCAAGTACCCACTGCTAAAGAGCCTCAAACTTGGACGAAACATTTCTCCAGTGCTTTCAACTTCTCCGACAAGTGTAGACTTTTGAAATCCACTAGTTAATCACAAACCTTTATAAAGAAAGTGATATTTATTATTTGATATGGTGTTTTTCGATTTTGCTGAAAATATGTTTTTTGAAGAGTTCACATCTAAAGCAACTTTAACACCAGCTGAAACGTGTTGTTCCGATGTATTGTAACTCGAATGTAAAGCAGCATATGTTTCTGTACATAATATTTGTGAATGTCATCAGAGATAGCATTTAATATTGTTTATCAGTGGCTAGTCATGATAAGTGATATAAATTCTGAGTGGTTTTTTTCATTAGCTTCAGTTTTCATGCTAGCAAAACTTTGTAAGCAGTTTGATCACGGAATTACTAGTTGATGACTATCTAACATGATTAAGTTTTGTGATTTCATAAAACAAATTGTTTTTCGCATTTACACTGGCTGCCTAGCCAGGATGTCTCATCCCAATTCAAACCTAACTAGATTAAAGAGATGGAGCTTCATACTGATTATCATTTGACTATCTGAGATAGCCGCAGTTTGTCAAACTAGTATTTGTACTGGATGATGATTGAAGGTGAAATAAAAGTTTGGGCTGCTGCTGGATTCGAACCAGCCACCACCAGTTTTCTGGTCCGATGCTCTACCAACTGAGCTACGATATCCAACTGTTGATCAGATTTTTCCACTTCAGTCGCCGGGGATTTTGCCCGAATACCGTGTGGGTTCGTGGCGCGTTACCACTGCTTGATTGTGTTCACACTGACTGCCTAGTCAGGACTTCCCATCCCAATTCGAATATACAATGTATTAGTGGTATTCGGGCAAAATCCCCGGCGACTGAAGTGGAAAAATCTGATCAACAGTTGGATATCGTAGCTCAGTTGGTAGAGCATCGGACCAGAAAACTGGTGGTGGCTGTTTCGAATCCAGCAGCAGCCCAAACTTTTATTTCACCTCCAATCATCATCCAGTACAAATACTAGTTTGACAAACTACGACTATCTCAGATAGTCAAATCAAATTGTTTTTCATAAATATTTTATCAAATAAAAGAATCAACAACTTTTTTATCCAGTGAGTCTATGAATCAGTATTGGGATTTCAAATCCCAACAACTTAGTCAAATGTACTCTAAACATGCCTTATAACTTGTCGACTGAGTTCGTTGACGCATTTATAGAACATTTTGGGAAAATCAGTCCTGTTAAGTCAAGTTAGTATCAATCATGGGAAACAATGAATTATTTTCCCAGATATAAATAACTGTCTCACTAAGAAATACATTTCTTTGACAAGCGACGTGTAGCGTGATAATCTTTGTCACAAAACAGACACTGTTGTTAATTATAGTTTATGCTTCAAGTCCTTAAGTATGGTTATTACACTACTCGACTGAAAGTTTTTATATGCAGTATCTGCTACCGACTGTTGTCATCCTGAAGAGAACTACTGAAGCCACTCATATATTTGTTATCATTTATCATGTGTAAGCACCTATTACAAAGAAAATATGGCAAGAATAATTCTTGAGCACTGCGATCCCACTGCATGTTTAGGAATAACCTTAATTTACAAACCACATGTTTCTTAGTAAAGGTGTTTCTTTGTTTAATGCTTGTCATTTATTATAACTGGTGAATACCCAGTGTGACAAATGACTCCTGATTTCGGTGATATTAAACCATAAAGATGTGAAGTAAGACACCATGTTCTTCAGGTTCTATCATAATTAAATGAATAATAATGCGTTTATTGCAAGTCTCGTAGATCCTTTGTAATGTTAACTAAACCAATTACGGGGAGTTCATTACTCAAACAGAACTGTTCTTGGCAGTTTCCAGGTTCTTCCTAATCTTTCAACCTTTATGACATTTGGTGACGATCAGATATATAACGAAAACATCCGTAGTAGTACCTGAATCAGTGGCCTCCAGGTTACTTCATCACTCCAATAGCTACCTGTCGACTGGGTCTTAAGCCCGTTACAAACATTTTGTCGCTTTTAACTCCCGTTTATTATTGGATGAAGATATTTCGAAAACAACTGAATATTCATGCATATCTACTCTGACAAACAACTTGTCACTTTCGTTATATCAAATATAATGTGGCTTAGTTTATTCAAAAATTTCGATTTTTGGCAAAAAGGTGAGTCGCTAACTGATGAGTGCTCCTAAACATTGATTATGAAAACAGTGAGAAATCTTTTTCGTGTTTTGGACGTGAGTCTAGTCAAAAGCATTTCATCGTGACAGTATTTCATTTACCTAACACCAATGATTAGAATAAATCACATCTCATGTTGTAAGAGGTGCTCATTTTCCTACTTTACTTATTTCACAAAACTTTCACTTGTGGTTCTACCAGCTTCCATAAAAAATTAGCAAGTAAAACATTACTGGGGTTCAGTTTTGCAAGTTTTATAAAACGGCTAATAATAATAAATAGAAAATGCCGAAAACACTGGAGAGAAGACTTTTCGAATACACCAAAGTACATTTTTTTGAAACCTTAATGCTTATTACACAAGCTGAAACAAACAGTAAGTAGGGATTTCAAAATGAAACGTCAACAATAGCCAACAGTAGGACACATGGAGCTCTTGACACAGCTTACAGAAGATTAAATAAGTCATAACCCAATGATGATATCAGTCAGCCGATGATGAATACTAATTAGAGATGACAAGTGGGATTACTATCCGATGCACCCTAGTGACATACTTCTAGATGATATATATATATATATCACTAAATTCATAAGAGATTTTTATTTGTGAAGGAATATCTCTTGGAATTAGCACTAAAAACCGCAGAAAAGCACTGTTTTTACTCTCATGCTAAATGGCTTCTTATTAAAACTACGGTCGAATTTTATCTTCATATAACAATATATCTTCACATGCTTCACTTTATCTGAATTTATATACAGAAATATTTTATCTGATTTAAAATGGGAACAAAATATCCATAAAATAGGTCTATCTCATTAGTTTTTAAGCGCTACTTGATGCGCAGTTAGTCTAAACACATGAAAAGCTTTTTATTTCAATGAAAGAAATTATAAAACGTTGTACAGCTTGATTTAGTAAATTTAATTACTCACCACAAAAGACAGTCTTGGTGATCATGCACATTCATTCTTTATGAACTACTCAGTCCATAATGAGCATTTAACCCAATACTACCGATGAACAACTTCCACAATTGTTCTTCAAAGAGGATGCGGTTTATTGGTCCATTCATCTTGTTTGTTGCTTGAAATGCTGGCTTACTGACAGTGTCCTTAAATTTCAATCCACTCTGAAATATGAACTTTAAAAAAATTTTTTCATTCATATGAACTCCGAGCTCTATATATTTTATGGATATTAAGTGTCTGATATAGGCAGTGCGCAGAAAGTCTGCCAAGTTTCGTAAACCAAGATATCTTTACTAAAAGATTTGTTTTCTCATTGGAATCTGCAGAGTAAGCGGACTTTGGTACTTGAGTTATCCCACTTTTTTGACTTCATCTGGATAATATCACTTTTTACTTAGTGACTGAATAGTCTTTGTTGTATAATACATCCAGGATACCATTTGCAGGATAAGATGACGCCACTTCACTTCATACGATTTTCAACAAATGCGTGAAGTCGGAATAAAATAACTAAATAATCACTTTAACGAATGGTAATGTACCTAATGTGAAACGTCTAAGTTACCACTTATTGTTTTACAGATTAAAAAAAGATTGTATTTCAGAACACAGCAAAGTATTGATTAATATGCCCAGCCATAGGAGACATAGTTTATCAGGCAAGGTGGGAGATTTTCATGAATGAGTGGGATAAGAACAAAAATAACTAAAAGTAGTTACAGAGTCATGTAAAACTGCTACCTTAGTAAGAGGATAATTGGGTGAGATAAATTATCGTAGTTCTAAAAAATACCGTAATAATGATATGATAGCAAATGTGGATATAGATAAGGTGGGCCTAAAATAAGAGCAACAGTATAGTGTCTCCATCTGAACACAGTTCAGATTAAAATTCTCAAATAATGAAGGATTTGCCAATAGTAAGGATTAAGCTTATTTTCCTGTTGACTACTGTGTGTAATAGAGTAAATTTATGTTTTCCATAATGAATATAACCGGCTGATACAAATTTTAGACCATTAACGTTGCTGGGATAAAAGGTAAACAATGAAGAAAGTAACTCTACAGATAAAAGTCGACAAATTACACTGCATTCTAAAAATTAAAGATGTTCACAAACTATGTATTTCGTCTTTTCTGTTAGACTGAACCTTTTCCAGATTTTAAGGAGGAAATGAGAATGCAAAAGGAGCAAACGTCATAGTCACAAAAAGGAGTTTAGTGGCCAATCACATAGCAGTTTTAATTGGAAACCCACTGAATTGGTTGCAAAGGTTCTTATTAAGAGTACAGTAATAGTTTTAATTACAGATACCACAGTAAAGAAGTAACAGAAAGTAGTAAATGTTATGAAGCGATTTTAAATTCGTGAAAAGACGAACAAAATATGCTAGAAATGTCAAAAAATTAAACTATTTTATGTTTCAGTTTTTTAACCCCTGGACCGAGTTGTTTCAATGACTGTTTTTACAATTTAATCCTTTCTTGACACACGGCCGACGTTTTACTAGGTTACCTGAAATAACTGTAGATATCGACTGATTAAGGCGGTTTTTTGTCGACATTTATCTACAGATCAAATCTGATCTTCCAAATACTAGTTCAGTATTATTTCACAAGCCACATGCGATACAACTACCGACTTCACTCCTGGAGGAGAAGAGATATTAGTGAAGTAATGAATTAAAACATTAATCAGTTGGATCATCTGTTCTTTGTTATCTAGTGTGGATTATTTTTTTTACATTACTTTTGATGATTATTTGATATCATTGATCTCAGTTACGTCATAATTTTGCATTAAGCTCGATGAAGAAGATCTATGACGGTGCTTTTAGTTTTGCTGTCTTACAGTCCAGTCCATGAAATCACGGTTATTACTCATGTACTTACTTCACTTCATAAACAACTTTTTCGTGTGCACAGCACGTACATACGAACAGTCAAGATATACGTATATAAGCATGTAATGCGAGGAGTATTCTTTTCCCGAAATTCCAACTGTCAAAAATACCTGATGGATAAAATAAATGAAAAAAAACTAGTGGATTTATGAGATTTTATTATTTTAGTGCAAAAGTAATACAAATATTTGAAAAGGTCGTAATTTTGTTTTACTGTTGTTTTACCAGATGATGAATTATCATTGGTTGATTGGATTACAGTTTTGCGCCCTACTATTCTTCAAAACTTTTTGTGAAGGATCAGGTTAGATGCATTTCATTTGTCTGGTTTTCATTAACTATACTCTTTTCTTTCATAATGTGCTAGTTTACATATAATTCTACCAACTAATGTATGGAAACCTTATTACATTCTACTTATTTGTCAGAAACCAAAATATTTTGCTACGTCAACCATTAATTAGCTGATAAAATAAGCAGGTAGACTGTTTCTTTTATAATCGTGAAATCGACTGCATATATAATGGTGATATCCATATGGTAGGACCATATACCAAAAAGGGATGTATTTGAGTGCGAACTTACCAAATGTTGATGAATTTCATATTGGCAACTTGCTTAGCGTCCCTTATTTACTAGCCCCAGGATTAGATGAAGAAGTTAACAGGCAGCTATCAGAATATGTTGCATCATTAGATGATAGTTGCCTACAGCGACTATCATTTTGTACATCGAGATTTCTTGAATAAGATAGGAGAGATTATGTGACTTATTGGCTTAACACTCCGTAAAATGCAGTTCAAATCTTAAACAGCAGTGATCATGCTGTTGTTTCAATCGTTTGTCTGTTGTCTAAAAACAAATTACAAGCAAAGAGGTCCTCTCTATAGTTTATCTTATAAAACCGATTCTTTGATCATTCGTTGAAGTTTTTGGTCTTTATTTCTATATCCCATTAACACCTTTTCTTATGTTGTACGGCGTATTTCGTAAGTCCAGGCTGCATTTTTCATGCCCTAATTAGCATATGGATAGTTATGGTAAAGGCGAGTAAAACGTATCAGTATCAAGGCACTTTAAAATTTTTTATTGTGTACTCATTGTTACGCAATAGAAAGGAAAACTAAGCATGGAGTTTTTAAAAATAACCTTTAAGTCACGCAAAGTTTTTCAGAATTGTCGGATCTGATAATATGTGCCTCATGACTGACAGATATTTTAATCCAAAATTTAACGGACAAATTGTTGAATAAAAGTAAAAAACTATAAGAACTGAAGTAGACAAGTTACTTTTAGGGAAGGGACATAGTTGCATTTACGTTGGTCACGATTTTATGTCTAACCAATGTTGACATACGACACACTTTTAACATTCTAAGCCACTTCGATTAGTAGCAATGTTGAAGGTGTAGCGGTGTGTTTCATTTTATAATATTTAAACTCTGTGGCGGCATTGTATGGAGATCAGTGCATATGAGATAGAAAGCCATATAGTTATTAAAGGTATCCTTATACCAGAATGGTAAAAAACTTCAGTGTCTCTACTACGTACTACTTATGTAAATTTAATCAACAGACGTCAGTGAGCAAGGCTTTTACTTCATTTATCATCATCTTTTAAAATGAATTATTGCAAAATTATAGATACTACGACAGTTTCTGGTTGATAAAAGTCAATGTTGTTATATGCTGGCGTTTGAGGATATAGCTTAGAAGAAAATGCAACTAGACGATTGTTTTCCCACTAGTCATCTGTTTGAGCAAAATTTCCACTATTTACAATGGTTTTCTAGATCTGCTGGAAATCAGTTTATTTCCTAACTGAGATTATGACGCTAACAAATGCATTTTATAGAATACGACAAATCTGCACATACTACACAATGACTAAAACCAATAGTACAGAGACTGTCTTCAATAAGTCTTTGTTTAATTAAGATATTTATATTACATGTTGATAGTACTGATATTTAAATATCGTTGTTGAATTTGCAGACGATATTAACGGTTGCAATGGGTAATCTGTCAGAGATCTTTAAACTCTGAATATATCTGGTATAAACTAAGGTGAATAAATAAGATGAAAACACTTGAAAAATCTCATATCAATTGTTTTTCTCCATATTGCAAGGAGAGTACACAGGTTGTATGTAAATACTACCAGTGGGTTTGTTACCTTAACATACTTTTAAATCAACAGTTTGAAGGTCTACGCCAGTTCATTGTCTCAAATGTTGTTAAAATTGGAATTCAGTTACCTCACCAACAAGTCACCTCTTCTTAAGGACGCAGGATGGCAAATGAAAGTGATTGGAGACTTATGGTTTAAGTATAAATTACATATATTTACTAGTGTTTCATCTTTTTTCTACAGACCAGTATTCAAAGTATTTAGGATGATGCTCGACAACCATAATTTATTGGAAATCATATTTCTCGTACACTTACAGTTGCCCAAAACCTATAAAAAAGAGTATTTAGCTTCATATATATGTATAAATACATATATGTATACCATTGAAAAAGTAGAAAGTTGATGCAATCAGATTCTGTCGACATATTTAAGGAAACGAACTCTTTAGTTAATTCTTACATGCAAATCAAAATTCCCGTTCTTTGATTCCCCTGTATTTTAGCTTTGACACAACATTGGTCGTACTCAAATCCAAAGGATGGGCCACAAAAATGGTCTGAAATTTATAAAGCCATGTGTTCAGGGACTTATCAGTCTCCTATTGATCTGTCAACGAGGTCGTCTGTATTCAATCCAGACATGAAAAAAATACAGATTTACCGAACCGCATCGACAACTGTGGGAAACAAAATTAGTAACACTGGTCATTCAGGTATGTCAACCTATTTCACAGTTATTATCTATTTAAGATCGAGCAGAAAAAGTATTCATAATACATTTGTGCATTTTTCTCCCTTGCTTCCTCTAATTTTAATCCCTTGATTACTTCTTACTAAATGTGTTGCTCTAGATGGATAAAACTCACGTAGGTAATAAACGCCGATATCACCCTAAGACTGTTGTAGTTACTTGACTCGATTTATATATTGATATTGAATAAAGCAAAGGATCGATGCACTTATAGCTTAATAAATAGCTGCAGTAATTGGACAATATAATAATAAATAATTTCTCATGTTTTTCTCTTATGTGGTTTTGGCATTACATAAAAACAGTATTATTTATTGGATGGAGCCCTGTGGAAATACAACGTTCACAAATACTTCAAAACACTCAAGTATAATTCACATATGGTTGATAAATTTATTGCATGATATCTCACTGAATCAATTATTTTATGTTAGTTTGTTTCAAGAATTAAACTGTATGAGTATTTAAGCTACAGGATGCTAACCGTACATATGCTTAGTACACCCTCTGAGTGGCAAGAACGAACAGACCACTTTGTGAGTAGTTGTGTTTTCTACTATGCTTTTTACGAAACAGTGCTAGGAAGTTTTTTACGGCTAGATATATGTTGTAAATAATAAATAGCTCTCATATTCCACCGTGTTTCAGGATTGTTCTTCATATGTGAGTGACCATATATATATATATATATATATATATATATATATATATATATATATATATATATATATATATATATATATATTTTTTATTGTTTGTCCCTTGGGTTCCACTTGAGGGCTCGGGACGTCATGTCTTCTAAGTGTATGTATGCCTGATCCAATCAATCTCCACTTTCTTCTGCATATTTGTTGGGCGATAAGTTCTCGGTTGGTTGGTTCGTTGCAAGCCAGCCACTAAGAATTTCTTGTTTCTTATTCTAATTATTCTGGCCATCTATATGATCTTCAGTATCGAGTGAGCGTAGGCGGCAGCTGTTCCTGTGTATCTGTAGTTTGTTGAAAGTGCTTTTCATAACACGCCAAGTCCCTCAACCATCACATAGAAGTACTGACTTGACATTCGTAGAGTTGCAAATCCAGATGTTTTTTCACGCTCTATGTTGAGTGCAGTGCAGTGCAGTGGTAGCTCTTCACATTGATTTCAGATTAATGAGGCCTGTTTTGTTGTCTTTCTGATTCTGGCTTTGACTTCCTCGTCGTGCCTGTGCTGCCTGTAGTTGAAATGATGCCTTCTAGGTTGGTAGGTAGGTAGGTAGGTAGGTGAAAAAACCTACTTTAGATTTCTCCCATTAATGGTGATTGGTGCTTGTCGTTGTCATTGTCGCTGGTTGGGTATCTTCATCACCCCTGACTTCTCTGCATTCACCTGATGGAAGTCTTGTCTTCACTGCTCTACCTCACCTCTTCTGCTAACTTGTTAGTTTTTGCCTGTAGGTCTTCGAGTTTGTGCTACTAGACATCAGACATAAATCATCATCGTTGGCGAAATCCAAATCTTCTTCTGGGGTCTATTGATCGGTCAAACAGCGTATGCCCATCTTCTCACAGCTCCTAAGAGTTTGTTGCATGATCCAGTCAACCACAGTGAGAAAGATCATAGATGATTGTGGGTGGCAACCTTGTCTTACTCCTGTCCTCACTTCAGAGACATCACTGAGCTTTCCATTGTGAATCACTTTGCATGTAGCTGTTGAATGAGGCTGACAAGAGTTTGTGGTACTCCATAGTGTTGTAGCGGCTGCCAAATTACCTGTCGATCTACGCTGTCGAAGACCTTTTCAAAATTGATGCAACTGAGGTAAGGATTTGACAGTCATTCCATACTCTGTTCTATGGCTATGCGTAGCGTGGCGTTGCAATTCGATGCGCACATGATTTGTTCTTCCTGAAGCCAGCCAGCCAGCCTGTTCCCGTCGTAATCCAGTTGAATCCAGAGTATGTTTTTATTCTCTCCAGGATGATGCGATCTAATATTTTGCTTGGTGTGTAGAGAGGTGGAGTATGTTTCGACGCCAGTTATTGTTCTTGCAAAGACTTAGGTCACCCTTTTGGGGAGTTTGATCGGGTAGCCCTTCTTCCAATCAACCAGCAGGTACCTTCCCTTCCTTCTATCCTGTTAAACCTTCAGAAATAGTGATGTGAGTATGTCCGGTGTTGTCTCTGGGTCTGTTTTCAGTGCTTCTGGTGGAATTCCGTCTGGTTCGGCTGCTCTTCTGGATCTCATCAACTTTATGGCATGGTGTTCAGGACTTCACTTCTGTTTTTTGGAGGTCGTGTGTTCACTGCTAATTCTGTGGCTGGGATGCAGGTGGAATCTCTGGATGAGTTGCATGTGGTGGTCGATTCAAGTTTTTCGAAGTGATCAGCTCATCCTTTCCTGTATGCCTACTCTTTAGTAACTAAGTTTCCTTTTCTTTCATTGGTCTCTTCTCTTTGATCTCTCCTCAGATAGCTACTTGTTTGTTTGATATAGTGTTGTCAGATATCTTCTACCAGCAGCCTGTACTGCTTCAATTGCAGGTGTGTTGTAGAAGTGTCTTTTGTCTTTGCGTGCACTCTTCTTCACTTCTTTATATAGTGTACTGCTTTATAGGTTGCATTTGGTTCCTCTTTTCTTTCTTCACCCCTGCGCTGGACTGGTTCATCTTCTGCTCAGTCATCTTCCTCTCCCTCCTCTGTCAGCTTCATGTATCCGTCGAGATCCATTCCTTGTCCTGCTTCTTCTTCCTTTCTACACGGTTATGCAGGTTTATTTCTACGCCACTTTCCCAGAATTCCAGTGTTCTTCCACACAGCTTTCTTCAGGGATGTTGCTCGATATCTCCTATGTTGTCTTGATGGCTGACGTGAAGATGTCCTTTGTAGTTTCGTCCTTCGGTTTCCGTTCTAGGTGTTGAACTTGAATTGTGGCCTATCACCAACTTCTGTGAAGGCTTCCAACTTGGTTTTAAAGTCTCCTTGCACTAGATGGTGAGTGGTGTGAACGTATATCTGCTCCTCTTCGTGATCATGTATCCATTAGACTGCATCTCCACTTTCTTCATATTCAGATGAAGTCAGTCCGATTTTTGTTGTGTCCTGGTGTCTGGTGAGATCAAATCCATGCCACTTCATGAACATCCTTGTGTTTGCACATACTGCCTCCAATCACCAAATCATTAAATGTGCAGAAATCTTCAAACAGTCCTCCATTCTCATTCATTATTTCACCGAATGCTTCTCGACCCATGATGAGTTCTCTTTCTGTGTTGTCTGCTCCCAGTTTGGCATCATGTCGAACCTACCCATTAGACTTTTAATGTGGCCATTTGGAGTGAGGTCTTGTCTATTACTGATTTTAATTGTCTATAGAATTCGTGCTCCTTCTCTTGGCCTGCATTATTTATAGGTGCGTAGCGTAGCACTGTATGATTGTAACTTTCCTTCTTTTTGATTTGAATCTTACTGTCATGATCACGATCGTTTGAAAGATTGATTCCCACTGCCTGATTTGCTCTCGGGGGCATCATAATAGTCACTCAAAAACTCAGTGTGCTCGTCTGGGTGGCCGGAGTGGATTATTGACTGTCCCGTTGATAGTCTGAAGAGTCCATTTCCACTTAATCTGCTTTCGCAGATTCATAGCGCCTCTATGCCATATCTTTCCATTTCTTTTGCAATCTGAGCAGCACAACCAGCCAACTTCAAACACTGTGCGGACATTCCATTTTCTAATCCTTACTTTTGCTTTCAACGAGAGAATATAAGACACATTGACCAACTGGCTTCCCGAAAGCCGGCATCATTTCGTCCCCCCAATTCCAGCGAGGAATAAGTTTTTCTGTATTTCGTGCTTTGAAATTTCATTAGTGATTGGATTGGTTTTACGGGGTAGGATTGCTAGCCTTATGCCCCACTCTCCTTCTTTACCCTGGCTTAGGACCGGCTAGTAACTAGTGAACTTGTAAACTAGGCAAGGTTACGTGTGTATATATATATATATATATATACATTTATTGAATTGACCCTAAAGTCTGACAAACAGATAACAGATAGGTGAAATCAACAAAGAACCTCAGATAGTAATCCTTCGGCCCATGTTGTCACTCTCCACATTCGTACACAATGAATGGGTTAGGAGAAAAAGGGTGATATCAAAGTAGACGGAGTTGTGTGATAGAGTGAACATTTTGAAGATATTCAAGCTTCGTAAAATTTCAAGGGGTGAATACATCTGTGCCATTGTGACTGACTTCTAGGAATGTCACAGAGAGTTCGCAACGCTGATTTATTTCGCATGCGGAACCCCAACAAGGCACTTTACGTCTCTCCAAATGACTCAGACCAATAGTAAGAGACTTTATCGGCCCGCGCCGTCTTGGCCTGGCCACTCCTATCCCTTTAACAACCTAATCCACCCTCCCCTAGCATGGTATGTCTAGGTACGTGGTGGCTCTGTATGCACAGTACATGTTAAAGCCTTCTCAGTAGACTAAGGTTCATCAGTCTTGCCTAGTATCTTCACCTGGTCTGCATATTGCTCATGAGGTGACCCCACCAAAGGTAACCAATTCTACCCAGACATCTGTGATAAAAAATTACTGTAATCGGTTCGTGTCTGCCGTTTTCATCGGCCATACGTCACAGACATACAACAGAACAGAATGGACTGCAGCGCAGTATACTTGCCCTTTGAGTGGAAGTTAGATATTTTGCTGGTGCCACAGATGACACACGTTGGCAAATGCCAAACTGGCCTTCTGTATCTGATCTGAAATTTAGTCAGCATTAAAACCGTTCGAGCTGCTGCAACTTCCCAAGTATGTGAAATGGTCGACCCACCCACTACTTCTTTACCTATCAATAAACTGGGAGTGGATTTAGACTAATCGCAAAGTATCATCTTACATTCGACAGGTGCAAACGCATGCCAAACGTACCTGAATTTCTGCTGGACACATTTAAAAACTGTTCACCGTAT